ATTTTTATGAGTAAATATTTCAATTTCCTTAATTTGAATGTTTCGGTTTACAGAACATCATCTTCCTTTGTAATGAACCAAGTCAACTTCCAAATTCCAATTCAAACTTAGAATAATGGATAATAACCATTTTCTGAATTTTTTTCTGCGTTTATCTCGGTGCTCTGTACCAAGGTTTACCTGCTGTTATTTTTGATTCATATCAGAATTTCAACGTACAAAAAATTCATTCGTATTTTTTATTCTTGATTATTACTCATATTGTACGAAGCAAGTAGTACTGGGTATAAATTCTCCAAAAAACTATGCATATCTAAAATAGAGTTTCTGATATTTCTTTTACGTTTCTTTTGCGAAGATCGTTTCCAGTAAAACCGCCCAAACCAGTGAAATCATGACCATGACACTTACAATGTGAGCATGGCTAAGCCTTCCGCATAAGCCAAATAGGTTTTGTGGCGCAAGTGCGTGGGCTTACGTTCTCGGCCGTCAACGTTCAACGTACGCATAGATTTACGGGACATCGAGTTTAGCTCCCACTTTCTCTCGGTCGTCGTTCATGTCATGTACGTGTTTCGCGTTGCTGCTGTGTTGTTTCCTATTTTGGCATCCATCGGCCATTTTTGCGCAGCAGCCGCGCTGTCGGCTGACATTTCGCGTTTTCCACATACGACGTACGGCATTTTCAGCGCTCGGTCATCGTCACCGAAGCCGAAGCAGCAGACGAGCAACGACGTGCGACGACGTAACGATGGCGCATTGGTCGGATGTGGACGCACACCTGCTCTCGCCACTCTCCCGCGGTTATGTCCAGCTGTTCAGTGAGTAATGCCTTTGTCTACTCCATTTATGGGGGGTCTCGAGGGTTTCATTACCTAAACGCGCCTATCAAATTGTTGTGCAATGACCTCATTGGATTTTGGCCTGATCCCTGAGATTGAAATTTACGCTGAAAATGATTCTGGCTTGCACTCCGAGCAGGACGACGAACAGTGGACTATTGAATATAATTGTGAGTTGTCGATTTTCGACCTTTTACTAACCAAAGAACGTTTTTGAACAATGCGTATTGAAAGTTTCTTTCCATTTCAACGCCTCTGAGTTGAATGCAATGTGTGCAATTGCTTAAAATATATTTCTCCTCA